ATTACCGATATCTATACTTACATCGAAATTCTCATTCACACCCAGTCCCACACTCTCACAGTCGACGTTGAAGTGAGTCGAGACGACGAACGTTACTTGTTTAATAATGAAGTTTATTTTAAGACTATTCTTGTACTATTGAAAAACAAATAAATCAATTAAAGAGACATGTTGTTTTAAAATTAAATGAAAATATCATTTCATTATTAATTTAAAAATAATACATTCTTGAAAACTTAAACAATGTAATAATGAAATAAAGAGAACTTTTTCTATTAAAGATGAATATATTTTCAAAAATAATTTTTAGTTTAATAGTTTATTTTGAGATAGATTTCAAATATCATGATAGGAAGAAATCTGGCAAATTCCAACGGAGAGAAAACAAAAAGAAATTTGTGTAAATAGTTTCTTTTATCGTCATTATTTAAAGAACAAAAAAAGTCTACGTATTATTTACACAATGACTCCATGAGATCAACAATGTTTCTTTACCAATCGTAAATATATGTAATGTAATACATTCCGGTGAATAAAATACTCTTACTTTAGAATTCACAACGACAAAGAATTTTTTTTCTCTTTCCTTTTATTTAACAATAACATCAAAACATTATTTTGTTGGGAAAAAATTTATATTTCGTTCTATTCAATGAAATATTTAAAATCTAACAAACGAATTTATTATTCAAATCATACACAGGTAAAATTTTCTCTTTCAAGAAAGAAAATAACGTATTTTTTAATTCTCCATATTATTCTGTCTTTATTTTATAAAATAAAGAATAAAGATACATTTTTTCATGCAAGAAGGACATATGAAAATACCCTGTATACCAACAGAATACGTTTATTAATGCTCTTTCTTACTATTATCATCATCATATCCATATGCCATACCATCAATAAAAAAGGACGTTTTAATAGAGAAAAAAAATCTTTATTCTTTATTTTCGAAAATAAAGATAAAGTAATACGCACACTTGAGATACAAACGTCGTATTTATCGATGTATAATCTTGTAATAACATAAAAACAGACTTACAATAGAGTATTTTTCTAGTTTGATATTGTATAGATATATTATAGATAAATTTAATTGAAAGAACGAAATAAAAAATGTCGACCAGTTTAGTTCAATTTTATGATCCTAAAAAGAAACGTGTTGTATTAATTCCAACACGACTTCTTTCCGAATTAAAACCAAAAATTGTTGAAATATTTATTGGAAAAAATTCTACAAAAGTAAAAATGGCTCCAAAATGGTTTAAACATGATGATCAAAATGATTCATTAAAAAATATAATTTATCCAGAAAATGTTAGTGAAAAACAACAGTACACATATAATACGGTCGCTCGGTATCGTGCAGCTGCCAATAAACCTAATAATAATTTTGCGAATAAATCTTTAAAAACTAGTGAAGATAATACTGAAACACTTATAATTGCTCTTGATAATTTTGTACAACAATTTGGTGGACAATTAAGTTTTACTAATGAAAATGTACCATTTAATGAAACAGCTCATCGTGCAGCTTGTGGTGTTGGTAATTTAAGTAGTGCTCATTTATTAGCTACTGATTATATTCCTACAGCTCAATTTACTTTTAAAACTGATCTTGATTATCAAACAGATTTAGCTCGATCAAGTGAAACTATGCAAGATTTTATCTTAGATTTTTCCAAATCTATTGCCAATATATTAGATTGTCCAAATGATTATGTACGAGTTATTTCTGTTGAAAAACCAAGTAAAATTCGAAGACAAACTAAAATTAATTTCGGTATTAGTACACCAGATCCAGCTGAAACAGAAAAATATGTAGAAGATCTTAAAGTACGTCAAAATATTTTAATCTATTTTAAGTAATATTATTTTTATTTTCTAGATTCGTGCAAAAAAAGGTTTTTCAAATCATCGAATTCTCAAACATGTTAAAGCAGATAACTATGATTGTAAATGGATACCTTTGATTAATTTTTTTCAATTAAGTCCATCTGATTTTGTTCCTGAATTTAATGTTGATTACAGATCTACTATGCCAACAGAAGATAGACGTGGAGATTTACCATATTATTTACCAATCGGATGGTATCGTCATGCACTTAAAGTTCTCGATAAATATCCAGATGATAAATTATGGATTGGCAGTAATAATACTGATGGAGAATTTGCTGTTGCTTATCATGGTACACATGCAGGAGCAGTTCAAGGAATAAAAGAAAAAGGTCTTTTAATCACTTCGGTAGATCTAATGAGAGATGAAGCTGTTAGACAAAAAGGAGAAGAATTTGATAAACCAGGCCTTTATGTAGCAACTCATTGTACAGGTGGTTCTCATCCAACTTATACACAACCATTTACAATTCAATCATCACAAAATAAAAGTGAAACATTTCGAGTTGTTTTTCAATGTCGTGTTAAACCTAATGAATATACAGTTCATACAAGTCCAGTTACAAGAGGACAAGCTTGGCGTTTTGTTGATCCTAATGCTATTCGTCCATATGGAATTTTAGTCAAAAATGAAGCAGTTCCAGATGTAGGTTTAGAAGATGAACAATGAATACA